TGAGTCTGGAGAAGAAGATTTTTGAAATATTGGATAATTTTCCCTTTGGGGCCCCGCCCTGGCCCCAGGGGTGGGGGTAGGAATCCCAATTTTACAATTTTGAAGCCTCATCTACCAAGGATGATTCTGACCAAGTTTGAAAAAAATCCATCCACTGGTTCTTGAGAAGAAGTTGAAAATGTAAAAGTTTACGCACGACGCACGACGGACGACGACGGACGAAAAGCGATTGGAATAGGTCACTTGAGCAAAGCTCAGGTGACCTAAAAAGGAAAGGTTGACATTAACATAATTCAGAGATTAGCATATTGGCAAAAGAATAAGAAACACTTTATCGAAGTTCTACTTTATTTCATAAGCAATGTATTGATAAAAGGCCATAATAAAATGATGAAAATTATAGCCTCGTTGTTGAAAATATTTATAGCATTTACCTTATTTCAAGGTGATACGTTAGCACACTGCGTATTAAAAATGACAAGATGTTGCATTTATCTAGCTAAATAGAACTCTTCACCTTTCATAATGCATTTTGATATTACTGAAAGAAGTAAATCATGCTGAAATGAAATACTGGCTTAATTTGATCAATTATTTGAAAAACAATCAACATTGAAATTCGGCGTTTGAAAAACCGTCAAGGCCGAGAGTTTAAATTCAAACATACGGTAATTCTGATAACAAAGGAACCTCTTTCAAACAAGAAATTCAAAAATGTGTATAAGTATTTACAATGAACGAGGTTAACTGCTTAATATATGGACAATACTATTTATCATATACTGGATAATTTCTGTAACATATCCTACTGTATACACATGACCATATAGTATGTGCAATACCATTCAGCCACCTACTTGATACTTCAAACGATCGTCTTTGGTCATCTGTCTTTCTAGTTCTTGATGTCTATCGTGGGCCCTTGCATCCGAATAAACTGGATTCGCAGTAATAAAACAGAAAAACACGATCATATTATACAATTGCAAGACAAACTTATTATAAACAGTTTTTTGGACATTTCAATATATATTATTTCTAGTTAAAAATATTTTTGATTCTGTCTGTATATAGTATAATAACTTACTACTTTTATTTCAGCGAACGAAGTAACGTTTAATATAAATGTGAAAGTTTAGGTGTCAACCAAGATCACTTTTCAAGGGGCCTTCGCTGAGATTAAAATCCCAGAATTATAAAATACTAGTCCAGTGCTATACCGATTCCTTTTTAAAGAAAAATCGCTCTAACACAGTCAGTAACATTAGACAAGGTATATATAATATTTTTAGTTGAAATTATTTTATGATTCTGTCTGTATATTATATATTAACACAGATCAAATAAGAAAATATATCATTCATGTAGATTCAAAACATAAAAAAGAAATGGGAAAAAGAGATGATTTTAATATTACAGGCATGTGAAGAAATCAAGCCAAACTGAAATACATACAGAACATCAACAGAATAATTCAGACGAAACCACGCGCTTTGAAATGTGTTTTCTTTTCCTTCTGGACATCCTGTGAATTTGGATTCTTTACTTCAAAGTGCACTGATATTAATTTTTAACAAATTTAATACCACATTTCCAATCTATTCCTTCTCGTACTTTTGTTGTTTATTTACCTATAGCATTACACAGGGGTTTTCCTGTGACTTTGTCCCAAAATATAATAGTCAGCATTTGATTGGTAATACCGATACCTGTAAATATAAATTTACATGTACAATTAACATCAAACGAATATTGCATTACTCTTTAACTTATCGATTTAAAACATCTTAAGCATAACAATTCGTTCAATCAACTTTCAAATAGGTTTCCATTTTTTATACATTTTACCTTTTGTTGATATGAACATTGAGATATTTAGTTAATTGCATGTAACCAAGAAAATACGAACAGGATCTGACGTATGAACCAATTTATGTTTCAAATAAGCTATATTATCATATGTGTTTAACTTCCAACAATCATAATTCATATTCAGGTTTCTTTTTTTTTCATTTATCACATCAAAGAAAATATGACTCAGTTCCTTATATTAATATATCCAGTTTAAGCTCCAATATTTGATTACCGATAAAATCGAGTTGCTCAAGGTCTGTGAAGCAAATGCATTCTTTCAAAGGGACACTTACCTTTCTTGCAATTTACTTACACTTAATATCTTTGATATATATGCCCATAGCATAGAGCTTTTCAGCAGTTTTCGCCATACATTCACGTGTAGATTCAATCAACCATATGGCATCCATTTCTGCCAATCTGATAGAAAAATATTTGTATACACTTAATCTATATCATAGAAAATCATTTTGCCACATTGCTTCTTAGATATTGCACATGAAAATATCACATGTCCTACCCTGGAACTATTTTTGGGAAATTGGATATCGCAGAAAAAGGCATAAACCACCAATATGTCTTTAGCAATATCTTTGCAGGAACAGAATCGAGAGTTTTCAGATGGTTTTCTACGTATACAATTAAGACATTGAAGAAACCGAATTCACCCCCTTTTCTCTCTCTCTCTCTCTCTCTCTCTCTCTCTCTCTC